TCTCATCGTATTTCAAGGATCTAATGTCTCTTTTCTTTTCTCATTTCTATTGGTTATAAAAATTAACTGAGCCTTTTTGACCTTTAGATTTTAACTTCTCAGAACTTCATAAACATCTGCTCCTCATCAACTTATAAAACTGTTTAATCTAATTAATTTAGTCCAAAAATAAAGGCATCCAAACAATTTTTTTTATTGTAAATTAAAAATCTGTGTGGAAAAGGACTTTTTAAAACTTTCATGCCTCTTTGATTTTAGTAGAAATGAGCAGCGAGGTGCTACTAACTTATCAGGTTTACTCATCATCATCCTAGTGTTTCAACCTCTATGGAAACATGCAGCTGTGTTTCATTAACACAATGCTAAGGTGGAAACCTTGGAATTGTTACAGATTATGGAGTGAAGTTTGTTTCATTATTCTTGCAAAGGACACTTTTTTTATATACGGAAATTAAAAAAAAGCAATCCAGTAATTAAAATTCTCAATCAAAAAACGTTTTCTCAGATTTTTCATTTTTTACAAATCGTTGCATTTCCAAATTCTCCCGAGTGGTGCCCGGCTTTACACGAGTCAATAAAGTGAGGCCTCGTCCACACGAAGTCAAAACGAACACGAAACGCTAATATTTTCCAGAACGTTTGTTGTAAAGATGGAGACGTAAAATAAATGTGATCGACCACACGAATGCATGAAAACGCTGCAAAATGTATGCCAGGCCTGTAAGTGGCGCTGTGGTGCCAAAGCAAAAATAGGCGACGAAATGTTGGGCATGCCCACTAATATTTATACATGGTTGCCCTGCGGGTCCATTTTCGTGGTTCAGTCAAATTCAGGTGCTGAACTATGTGGTCGATATTGCTCTGTTCTTCCTGGAGATATTCCAGAAGAAGAAGATTCTGTTGTAAGCCCGACAGCAGGGTGAGTAGCATGAGCAGCAACCATTCAACACAGTACGGCGCCATTGTTGTTGTTATACTGTGTTGCGCATGCATGTTTAGAGGCGACGCTATGACGCATGCGTGTAAAAAAATAAAAATAAAAAAAAAATGCGGTTAGAGCTTAAAGATGGAAACGCGAAAACTGCGTTTCAAAATCTTCCCACTCTGAAGGCTTAATAAAAAAAAGATTGTTTACAGACCCCCGAAACGCCGGCTTCGTATGGATGAGAGGCTGGTTTGGTGAAAAATTTGTGCGTTTAGGCCAGGGTTTGACTTCGTGTGGACGGGGCCTGAATGTAGCATCTTGCTAACCAGTTAGCAACTTAGTGCTAGTAGGTTCCCAAATTTGTGACTTAGAAACGACGCTGTCAAGGAATGCTATGGACAACCGAAACATGCAAGAGGAGGAGAGTTTAGTGTCGGAGGTCGTGGATGAGTCTCCTCCGTCATCCATTTTTTATTTAGAGGAGGAAAGCGGGGACGAAGATGTTGTGGAAGAGGAGTGTGGTTTGGTGTAAAAGGCTTCCAGCCGTACATGTTTGAGCCCTTGCCTCGCAACGCTGCCAGTTCTGTTAGCTCTACGCCTGCCGAAGACACAGACGTCCATCCCCGTAAACACTGGGATGCAACTCAATGGGAAAGGAAATTATTCTTATTTCAACCGTTGCGTATATTAGCTGCGACATATAAATCAAGATGCTATGACAGAAAAAAATTGATTGACAGATGACTGTTGATATATGATTGGCTGAATTTAGGTGTTCAGGCTGACGTAGAACTAACTGGCCTGCAGAAGATAACGAAATACATTTTTTTTTTATATAGACATTTTCTAAATTTTTGGACAATATCGTCTGATAAATAGTTTTGGCATTTAAATATGACTTCTCTGTGATTTTAAATAGCATTTTACAGATCATATTTTCTTTACTTCAAGTCTCATTCTTGACCAACAAAGTTGCCAAGTACTAGCTGACCAATAGAAATGCGTCTTTGCATCTATTAGATGTTTCTTTTCATAAATATCTGGGAAAAAATAATAAAATAAGTTGAAAAGATACTATCTGGGTCCATTTTATTAAAAGGTTTATTTCTTTGTTGCATTTTTTTTTATATATATTCCCATTTACAAATCATGTTCTTAGTAACAATATCGGAACAAAATTCACTCCATAACAGATCAGTTTTCAAACAACTTGAATCCATCAACTTTCACAAATGGAAAGCATATATCTTATATGTGGAGACAGCTCCTCAAAGACAAAGCGCAGCATCTGCATCCATCGATAATTACAACCATCATCAAAAAAAAAAAAAACAGGAGTTGATACACATCCTGAAGATGACACCACGGTGGTGGGCCTCATCAGAGACAACAACGACCTGGACTACAGAGAGGAGGTGGAGCAGCTGGTGGTGCAGAGATAACAGCCTGATCCTGAACATGGAGAAGACCAAGGAGATCATGGTGGACTTCAGGAAGAACCGGCCTAACCACGCTCCACTGCTCATCAACAGCTCAGCTGTAGAGGTGGCCAGCAGCACCACATTCATCACAGACACCCTCACCTGGACTGGAAACACCACCTCACTGGTCCAAAGGGCACAAAAGCGCATGCCCACCTGGCACCAGTGTTGGGCACGTTACTTTGAAAAAGTAATTAGTTATAGTTACTAGTTACCTCTCCCCAGTGATGGGAGTAACGGCGTTGAAAGTAACAGTGTTACTAACGCCGCTACCTTTTTTAGTAACGAGTAATCAAAATGATTACTCTTACTGTAACTATAACGCAGTTACAATTGCCGACTCCCCGTTACTGCGCGTTACTCAGGTCGCACAATTAACCTTTTTTCATGATAGGACTCGTGCGCGAGTCATGAGAGAGGGGAGGATGGAGAGTGAGGAGGACTCCAGCAGCAAAACAGCGCTTTCCTGATGGAAATACCGGTGTTACGTCGAGCTGCGTTTCCTCATCAGATACGGTTTCCCCTGCATCTCCGCACAGCGCAGGCGGCATGATTCACCGCGCAAGCGACAGGAAACGCGCATGCTCGCTATAGGCGCGTAACAGCCGCCCTGTGCTCGCGCCACAGGGGAACTACGGAGAGCGTGAACGATCATTAGCCTATATGGAGAAAGGGAGATGTATGGATGGATGGAATAGATAGATAGATAGATAGATAGATAGATAGATAGATAGATAGATAGATAGATAGATAGATAGATAGATAGATAGATAGATAGATATAGCTACATGTTACAGTATCTATAACAACCCAAACACAGGATTTCAGAATTAGACATCCCCAGTTATTAATTTCATACACTCGCAAAAGTAACGCAATAGTTACTTTTACTACTAACTAGTTACTTCTATTGTAGAGTAACTCAGTAACTAACTCAGTTACTTTTTGGGAGAAGTAACTAGTAACTATAACTAATAATTACTTTTTCAAAGTAACGTGCCCAACACTGCTTCTCCCAAAAAATAACTGAGTTAGTAACTGAGTTACCTCACAATAAAAGTAACTAGAAACCGTATCTGATGGGGAAACGCAGCTCGACGTAACACCGGTATTTCCATCTGGAAAGCGCTGTTTTGCTGCTGGAGTCCTCCTCACTCTCCATCCTTCCCTCTCTCATGACGCGCGCACGAGTCCTATCATGAAAAAAGGTTAATTGTGCGACCTGAGTAACGTGCAGTAACGGGGAGTCGGCAATTGTAACTGCGTTATAGTTACAGTAAGAGTAATCATTTTGATTACTCGTTACTAAAAAAGGTAGCGGCGTTAGTAACGCCGTTACTTTCAACGCCGTTACTCCCATCACTGCCTGGCACCACTGCCATTAGACTGCTAAATCTTATGTAAAATGGGTTATATAAAAAAAAAAAACAAGAAACTGAAACATATCACTAACTATATAGTCATATGTTTACATCACTTTTTTTTCATCACAATTTTTTTATATCACTGCTGCTTACCTGCACTTTAAAAAATTAAATAGTCTAGAGAACTGTACTGAACAAAATTTCTTTCTTTTTTTTTAACACTTGACTGTACAAAATGACAAAATAAAATCTAAGTCTAAGAACTTCTGGCCAGAGAAAAAACAGGTAATATGTAGCCAACATTTGGAAGAAGAATGTTTTCAAGATGACTTGGATAATAGCGCGTTGTGACAAACACCAGATACAGCACTGGGACTTGATCAACAGCCAATACCGCACCGTGACGTCACTAACCAGTAGGTGGCAGTAGTGTTCTTTGACAAACATGGATGCCTCCAGTAAAGCACATTCACATGAAAATTACTCTGAATTAAAAACACTGATCATTTATTGAACAGTATCTATTGAAACTTATCTAGATTTTGATTTTTGAATTCTGAATATGAGCGGACTTTTCCTTTAAAGGCTTCCAACCTGCTGTTGCCATGGTGAATCACATCATCTGCTCTCCATCAATGAGGACTTTCTATTGGATGCTGAGTTTATTTCCCTGATTAATATCCGTCTTTTCTGGAACCGAGTGAGTTGGGAAGGGGTAGAACTAGCAGGAGTATCTGCTCACTACTCAGGGTAGGATGGTCATTCTGCCTGAAACCCTCTTCTTCTCTTTACTAAACACACTCAGCACCTTCAAAGAGTCTGAATTAGCTGCGCTAAATGATACGTGTGCAACATAATTTTTTGGCCTTGCAACTCTAATTTTAAATGACTAAGAACCAGAATCCCTCACAGTTTTCTGCCAAAGGTTAAAGCAACCAGTAAATATTGAACACATGTAAATAGTTTCAGTCCTTCTACTTGTTTCCCTCCTCCCTAAGAAGCCGACACCGCGTAACCACACCATTAAAAGATGTTTCCTAAAACACTTCTCCCAGTTTGGCAGTGATCCAGTTTCTAAAGCTCTCTATGAAACATCAGATCAGCTGGAAGTTTTTTTTTTCTTTTCAGGTTGGACTTTGGTCCTATTTGTTCTGTTTTATCTTAACCTTGTTGCATTATATATGAGAGAACAACTCCCAGCTCAGATAATCCACGGTCCTCTGTGTGTGACTGGTTTATGTATTAGAGAAATCGGAAACCCTGATGCAATATTAAAGAGTTTCCCATGTGGTTTAAAATCCGGACCATATTAGAGTTCACTAGGAAACCATCTCCTCACCTGCTCAGCGGAGCTCAGGATTACTCAGACTTTCCCTTTTGCTTCTGGGAAGGATCTGTCTCTGTAAAGCGGCCGGAGAGCTGGTTCCTTTTCTAAAAGGCTGTGGATGAAAAGGAAAAAGCTTCCTGCACGGATTAGTCCGAGGAGCCCGGTAAGGTAAGATAACCTTAACATTTGCTTCTTTTTATCTGGGCATAAAGAAAACTAGAGACGATTTGATATTTAAACATGTTTTCTTCTAGATCACCTCCTTCCCTGTTTTAACCATACCTGTATTGCTCACCTATAACCAGAGGGTGTTGCTGTTAAATGAACAGATCTGTCTCTTTTATGGTTAAAGTGAAAGACTGAGGGATTCTGGATAAAGAGAAACAGGATAAGGAATGTTTAATCTGCTTTTTGAAACCAGATTAGAAAAATCCACCTGATGACAGATAATAATCTAATAGGTCTACAGACTGCCATATGATCGCTTTGTTTCCTGTTTTATTTAATAGGATTTACCAGAAAGGCTGATGGGTCTGAATGGATTTAATGCATGCTGTGATAAATGACCGCGTTCCTCTGAGGTTTTACTGATAGTTCAGCTCCTATTTTTATTTTTTTTAATATGTAAAGCTTGGAACTGAAGCTTGTGGTCAGAAAATTTAGATTTCTCTCATTTTATATATTTATTTATGCTAAATACTCAGTGAAAAAAGGTTCTTAGTCTGTTTCATCTGCAAGGCCACACAATGCCTGAGTGAGGGTGTTTGTAGACAAGACATACGTCTTCCCATAACAATCCAGATTCTTTCTCAAGGTTTAGTCAAAACGTGTTACTGTTTAACCAAAGTGTCTGTAATCTGTTTTGACTCTGACTACTTTCCATTATTGTAAGTAAAGGGGAACGAACGCTGCCCAGATCAGAACAGGGCTGATTACCGTGCAATAAAGACCGTATGATGAACTTTTCTCGCTTTGCAAAGACACAATAGAGTAACCTGACTCCGCCAGATGGATTTGCTCCTCATATCCATCTGGAAACCTTCCGTTGAAGTAATTTTGGGAAGGGGCGAAAATACTGGTTAGCTGATTGGCCTATGTTGGTGATAGACGGGCCAAATAAACCAATCAGATCAACGAAGCATATGACGTACTAACAGAGCGACGACAAAGAGGAGCCAATTGATAGATCAAACTCTTGCCAAAACCAGTCGGGAGAAGAGCAAAAACATCTTTTCCTCTGAGAAAAGCCTCCAGAGCAGTGTTTTGCTCTTCTTTCAGTGAAGAAATACTCTGTAATTCCGATAAAACTTGCTCGATAGCCACGCTAACGCTAGTTTCATCGGCTGAAGCCGCCATGTTCTTTAGACTGAACTGTCGCGCTTCTCGTTGCGTCACACCTCAACCCGCCTCAAAGCCAACGCTGATTGGACGTTCGTTTGCTGAACGGCTCCAAATTTTCTTCAACGGAGAGTCTCCAGACTGATTAGGGAGTGAAACCTTGAAAGCTCGCGAGATCGAGATGGTCTCACGAGGCTAACAATAAAGAAAATCCATCGATCTCCATTTATTTAACTAGAGTGAATCGTGGTTTTAATAATATTTAAAAATGCCCGTAATAACGTTAAAATGTCGTATTCATGTTATAAGCTAATAAAAAAAGATTATTTACCCTGTTAAAATAAGGTTATTAACACTGAGTGTCAGTCCTGACAGTGACTAAATAGAATTTCAGCATGGGGCGTGATGAGCAGATATAAACAGACATGTCGCCATCTGCTGGCAGTACGGGTGAACTATAAGGAAACTAAATGATTGCTACTAAATAGAGCCTGCTTTTCCTGCAACGCCTGACGGTAAAGCAACAGCTCAGTGTTCGGGAAAACCCACAGATAGTAATGAAATAAACTGATCAACACGACCTTTAGTTCTAGTTCATCCACCCCAGAGCCTCCTATCAGAACATTCCTGTTCCTAAAAAACACAAACGGACCAAGCATCAAGATAAGAACCGATCCATCAATCTATTTCTAATGTTGATATAATTAAAGTGTAGAGACTAAGATTAATTTAGCAGCCACATCTGAAAGCTTCGGCAGCTTTAGCGCTTCGGTTCAGCTCTCTTTTAGTCTTATCCTGCTTGAAATCAAATATTTTTTGTTTGTTTTTTTTTTACACCGGATCTTAGATTTTTCGTCATTACTTCCACCCTGAGCCAAAAAGCAAAGCTCTCTATTTATCGGTCGATCTACGTTCCTACCCTCATCTAAGGTCATGAGCTTTGGGTCATGACCGAATTAACGAGATCCCGGATACAAATGAGTTTTCTCCGTAGTGTGTCTGGGCTCTCCCTTAGAGATAGGGTGAGGAGCTCGACTCAGAGTAGAGCCGCTGCTCCTTCACATCGAGAGGAGCCAGTTGAGGTGGCTCGGGCATCTGGTTAAGATGGCTGCTGGACGTCTCCCTGGTGAGGTGTTCCGGGTACGTCCCACCGGGAGGAGGCCCAGGACACACTGGACGAAATATGTTTCTCATGGATGGATGGATGGATGGATGGATGGATGGATGGATGGATATTTCTACCCTTCACTCAGAGATGCTCATGACTGACCACAGTTTGCTACTTCCTTATTTAGCCCCTGCACAGTAGTATTCCTCCCTTCTTATTATATATATGGACAAACAGTTTAATTTACTTCATGAAACAAAAAAAAACAACAACATAAAACACCAAAATAACAAATAGTACGACGCCAATATCCACAGATAAATACATAGATATTGTGGGAACAACTCGTTCACAGCTCTCCTCAGGAAAGGAGATTTTTCCATCAGCGTTTCTGTTCTGTTAAACGCAGAAAAAAGTAAAAGCATCATCTCCATTGTTCCAGATATCCTGTGGTCCATTTGGAATGTTTTGCAAACTGTTTTTTATGAGTCTTCCATGATTACTGGGCAGCAGCAGTGGCTTCCTTAAGGCCATGGCTGTTTTCTCTCCATTGTGGCAATATGTTAAAACTGTCCTTTGTGGTTGGATTATTGACAGCAATCTATCAATCTATCTATCTATCTATCTATCTATCTATCTATCTATCTATCTATCTATCTGTCTGTCTGTCTGTCTGTCTGTCTGTCTGTCTGTCTGTCTGTCTGTCTGTCTGTCCGTCCGTCCGTCCGTCCGTCCGTCCGTCCGTCCGTCCGTCCGTCCGTCCGTCCGTCCGTCCGTCCGTCCGTCCGTCCGTCCGTCCGTCCGTCCGTCCGTCCATCGAAGTAATTATCTTCATTTTAAATAGATGTATTTTCCAAATAACTTTTACTTGTTTTATTAATAATTTTTTATTTATAATTGTGTGGTAAATTAAATATTTGAATTGGTTTTAAATGAATTAATGTTACATCTACTGATGTCACGGGGCACATATTGATCTATTTATTGATCTGTTTTCTATCTAAAGAAAACCAGTAGATTGCATCGACTCATTGACTCCAATGCAATCCCTCACACTAAGCATGCTTGTAGCAACAGTGGAGAGGAAAAACTCCCTTTTAACAGGAAGAAACCTCCAGCAGAACCAGGCTCAGTGTGAGCGGCCATCTGCTGAGGCCGACTGGGGGTCAAGGAGACAGGAGCAGAGATACAAAAAGCAGCTGTAAATCAGCTCCACACGAAACACGCAGCCAGGCAGATGAGCTCCGAGCCAGCTCCCATGTCAGAGGATGAAGAGAGCACATCCAGTTAGTCACAGTCAGAGAAATAGAACTATACTGAAAAAAACATCTATAAACAAAGGTGATGATGGCAGCAGTACAGCTGATATTTCTCTCCAGGATGGAGTCACAGTCAAACAGGAACAGACCAGATGAAGCTACTATGAGAAAAAGCAGAGAGAGCAGAACGTTAGAGATTGAACTAACAGATTCTGCAGAATAGGAGAGATAGAATGAAGCAGAATGATGAAAAAGGGGTCCCTATGTCCTCCAGCAGTCTAAGCCTATAGCAGCATAACTATAGGGATAGATCAGGATAACCTGAGCCACTCTAACTAGAAGCTTTATCAAAAAGGAAAGTTTTAAGCCTAGCCTTAAAAGTAGACAGGGTGTCTGCCTCACGGACTAAAACTGGTAGTTGGTTCCACAGGAGAGGAGCCTGATAACTAAAAGATCTGCCTCCCATTCTACTTTTAGAAATTCTAGGAACCACTAGTAAACCTGCAGATTGAGAGCAAAGTGCTCTGTTAGGGATAATAAATGTAGTCTTTGAAAATTACATTCACGTACATTTATTTAACCACGTTATATGTACTTTTAAATATATAATGGTTCGTTTTCCACATTTCAACGATAAAAAAAAATCTCTACCAAGACGCTGTGGCACTAACTGCACTTTATAATAAATAATACATTTCCTCTGAGTAAGTATCATATCTTCCGTAAGTACTCTCATCTTTCTTATGAGTTTCTCTTCCAATTTTTCTCTCAGGGCGTCTTCTACGGATTCTCATCCTTTTTTCCCATGAGTGTTTGAATTCCGGTGGATTATTTGTACATTTTGAGCCCGGAGTCTTGACAATATTTTATTATGGTTTCCTAATAACAAAGATTCTTGAATATGGTTTTATAAAATAATCCCAGTGTCGTTGGGTGTGCTGCTGAATAGAGAGTAGCTTTTAGCGTAATCTTCTAGTTTTTAACTTCCATTACTATGAAAAGATTTTTTTCTGTTATACTGGCGGGAAGAAAATAAAATCAGAAAACACAAATATTTAACTGGAATCATATTCCAACTACTACGGAAGAGTATTAGGGCCACTGGAAAAAAAAAAAAGTTTACTGATTTTAAAATTTTATTTCAATTTAGTATGGGAACAAAGCCAGAAATCTTACTTTTTTCTCAGAATTCTGACTTTAATCTCAGAATTCATACTTTTTTCTCAGAATTCTGACTTTAATCTCAGAATTCTGACTTTTTTTCTCAGAATTCCGACTTTTTCCTAAGAATTCTTAATTTTTTTTCTTAGAATTCTGACTTTTTTTCCTCAGAATTTTGACTTTTTTTTCTCAGAATTCTGACTTTTTTTTCTCAGAATTCTGACTTTTTTTCCTCAGAATTTTGACTTTTTTTTCTCAGAATTCTGACTTTAATCTCAGAATTCTGACTTTTTTTTCTCAGA